CTACGGCTTGCCCAAAGTCATCCAGCCATGTGCAAGTGGAGGAGTGGGGAATCAAACCCGGTTCTCCCAGATTAGAGTCCCCGCACTTAACCACTACACCAAATTGGCAACCATAGTCCTCACTGAAGAATTGTTATTATTCAGTATGATGCCATCTACCCACCCAGTGGGAGGGGTGCCACTGATCATCCCTGCCCCTGCTGCTCTTTGAATGAGCAGCAGAAGGGAAATGGGGAGAGCAAACAGTGTTGTGCAATATCCGTGATGTCATCTTCAGTCAAAAAACTGCTCTAGGAATCCCTTGGATCTCTATGGTCAAATGTTTTTTTCCATCAGGAAAATGACTTTGCAGTGTTGTGGTGGCACCGTTTCCACCCATCTCCACCACTGGGCCTCCTACCAATGGAGCCTCAAGGCCTGGCAACCCTTAAGGCTGAGACCTATTATGCATGGGTGTTTTGCCTTCCTTCCACCGTGCGTGTTGGGTTTCGTTCTGCATTGTTTTTCCTCCCTTCAGTGGTCAGTTTGCTTTCTGGTCACTGTTTCCCCAGGTTTTCTGAGAGTGCTTTTGTGCCAGTTTTCCCCTTGCTTCACTTCCAAGCCAAAATTTCCCCCCCAAAACCCCTTGGAGTCCACTCCATTGCCCACACTGAGGTTGTTCCTCCCACTCTGCACCTTCCACCATCCTTTCCCCCATCCTCCCCCCTTCATCAGTGTACAAGCTTCACTATAGCTTATTTTTCCCCTCATTAATTTTTTGGGGTGGTTTTTTGACAAGCGGGATGAGTCTAGTGATATGAGACTTGGATTGCTGGGGGAAAACATTGACATGAAAAGCTTTAGAAGTTTTGCTACAGGCAGCAGTACCCTGCAATCCTTTGGCTACATGTACTTTAGCTCTTTAAGGAGCCACTTCACAAGCTCTAAAAGGAGGGAGGGAGGGAGGGAGGGGGTCAAGACCAGCATTGGGTTGTTTGCCACTGATCAAGCCCAGCAGCAAGGGTGGCAGCCGCCAGTCCACAGCAGGTGTGTGTGTGTGTGTGTGTGTGCGCGCGCCCATATACAGAAGAGGCTAGCAAGCACTTTCTCCCAAAATGTGGCATTATCTCCCCTCCCATCTAAGCAATCCCACAGCTTCCCTATTCTTTCCACTGCCCCATCTGTCTCTAGGGGCTACTGGATCTGTTTCTCTGCCTTGGGTATGGATCAGCCTTGAAACATCTGCAGTTGAATTGGAGCTGGATTGAGTGCTTGTCCCCTCTTCTTCCTACTCGTTGGCCCATCGCGCATCTAGCATTCGCTCCGTTGTTTTACCAAATCCACACTGGAACAGGAAAAGATGCGTCTCAAAACCACATTCAGATACCACAGGTAAACGCCGTACTGACTGCAGAGTCACCACGGAATGGCCATAAAATGGCCATAAA